TAAGTTTTTTCGTTCTGATTTTGGATCCAGTAAATCAGACTATTGTTTTAGAAGAATGAAGATGTAGTTAAACCTAATCATCTTCCTTGTTTCGTTTTTCTTAAAATATTTAATATTTGGTGGGTGATGGGGGTGGGAGTGAAGGTGTTAGTACTTAGTAGTATGTGTTAAAATCTACCTACTCCACTAAACCTTCACCCACTTAAACCTACTCCACTAAACCTAACCCACTACATCACTACCACCTCACCTACTCCACTAAACCTAACCCACTACACCACTACCACCTCCACTTCACCTACTCCTTACCTACTACACACTCACCCTCTTCTATATATAGGAATCATGAATCATTGCAATGTACATCAATATATATCAATCAATAATACATACAATTTATTCTCTCCTTTCTCTATATCAATATATTTTTTACATGGTATCAGAGCAGGTTTAGAACCTAGTATTTTTCGCTTCACCGGCGGGCGGCAACCTCACCTTAGCCGTCCGCCGGACCTCAATCTATTCCGCTTATTTTCTACACATACCTTCCACTCTCCACAGCCGTAACTCTGCAAGAAGAGATCTCTAAGCTCTCTCTCCTTTCTCTCGAGAGCTTGTTTTTACCGCTGCTGTACATTGGATTGATGCAAGAACACTATGTCAGGCAAGGAGGAAGATGTCAAAGAGCATGAAGGTGTGGATGAAGATGTCCCAGAGGACTCTGAAAAGGCCATGCCATCACCCCAACAGGAGGAGGAAGCTGTTAAGAGCAAGTATGGGCCCAAGAAACCACCACTTATTTGTAAGGACCATGAACGTGCTTACTTTGACTCTGCTGATTGGGCTCTGGGGAAGCAAGGTGGAGAGAAGCCCAAAGGACCACTCAAGGCACTTCAACCTAAACTGCAGCCAGCACAACAGCAAACCCGATACCGGAAATCGCCTTGTGGTCCGTCAGATGGTGAAGGAGAGAACACTCCATCAGATGATGCAGCTACAAATGAATGAGAGGCCACTGTTGGTCTTTTGATGTTGTGAGAACTAGTGGTTCGTATTCTAATATCTGAATAGGCGACCACTAAATTTCTGCACTCTCTTTCCACGTAGTTCCCAAACACATCCACTACCTCACCTTTATTTCCATTATTATAAATGACACCCACCAATTTGTCAACTTTCCCCAATAATAATACATCATTTTATTTTACAATATCAATTTATTTTACAACACAGCAGCACATAGTCCAAACCCATTTTCTTTTCTTTCTTTATTTATTTCTTTCTTTTCATTCCTTTATTACATCTATACCCATATCCATCATCACCCTCTTTATTTATTTATTTCTTTTAATCACCTTTTGCACCCCACTCACTGACTCCCTCACCACAAAATAGAATATCTTTTATTTATTTATCTTCTCTTTCTTGTGTTTCATTTTTCACACACAAAAAAACAAAACAAAACAAAAAAAAAAAAAAAAAAAAAACATAGGTACTACCAGTCGTTACTCCCTTAGCAGTATTCTGATCGGTAGCTTTGGGGCATGGGTAAGGTACATTTTTCCTCAGCTCGGAGTCAATTGGAACATTCGCAGCGTTTAGTGCCGATGTCCTTATCATCTCAAATAACATATTCTCGAGCTTAGCAAAAAAAAAAAAAAAAAAAAAAAAAAACAACAACAACAACAACAACAAACCAAAACACAACACCAAGACGGCCACCCACCCACCTCACTTCTTCGCCTATTCCGCCGGTCTTTTCTTCTTGCCTCCGTCCTGGGCGGCCATTGACGGTGTTGCCTCCGTGTTTCCCACTCCACTGGGCACGATCACTATTCCCTGCTCCTCCACTGAAGCATATGGCGGACCTCCGAATCGGAACATCACGGTGGCCTTCCGCTTCAGCTCCTTGTTTTCTGCCTTTAGCACACTTATCTCTGCTCGCGCATCCTTATACATGCGTTGGAGCAGAGCCAG